AATTAAAAAGATAGACTAGGCAATGAGCTTAGTGATATATATGCAGACAATTGTTATTACTATTAATCCTATTTTATGGATGAAGAAACTGAGATTTCACAAGGTTGCACTGCTATTAAGCAATGGAACCCAGATTCACACCCATGTCTGATTCTAGATCCACTGTGATTTCTGTAGCACCCTCCGCCACCAGGTACACAGAGCTAGGGTATTGCCAAGACCCAGAGGAACATTGGATGCTGGGATGTGGCTCTCCAAAGCAGGACTAGGAGCAGGTGCTCAGGTGGGGTCATACTGGGAGGTGACTACAAATAGGACAGCAGCTGAAGCCTTCTAAAACCCCGAGCACCCTCGCCTACAACCCTTCACGCTCCTTCACTTCACTCCTGAATGAGCTCATGATGCTTTGAGATGGCCCGAACTACAAGATCAATGCTACAGTTAACATGCCAAGGCCTTGAGAACCATCCTCCTGTGACAAAATGCCACTTTGCTTAAGGAGCTACATCTCCAGGGCTGTTGCCTGGGTACTATATTAGTGGAAAGTCAGAAGCACAGAAAGATTTTGTGTTTTGTTTTCAAATCGTTGATGACATTCAAGCAGATGCTAATATCTTTTTAGTGTTCCATTGCTGCAGACATCTTTGCCCAGAGAAGAAAGATTTCAGCAAAAGGGTTTCTTAATTAAATGTTGCCTGATGCCAGATTACCACTCTGAAAGAAGCGGTGGGTTCCATTAAAGCATGAACTTTACTCCCATAGCTGACGGCTGATTAATGTGTTAATTAGAAACCCTGCCCCCTCCCCCAGTTGCCCGAATCTTAAGCCTAGCAGAACGTATACATCATGCCCATGTGGGTAACCTCATGACATACTTTGGCTTTGACTTTGGACGTTTATATAAAAATGAAGGCTCAGTTGCCAACATGAATAGCTTTCTTTCTTTCCAAGAGAAATCCAAGATGGAAAGAGTTATAGGAACCAGAAGTCCTGCCTTTCAGTTTTCTGGTATCAAGAGCAAGTGCTATTTCTGCCGAGGCAGTGTCTTTTGAGCAGTTTAGTGGTGTAGGTTGCCACACATTTATTTCACAGAAAAAGAGTGAATCCATCAGGCCACTGAGCTTATAAGTACTACCCTGGCAGCCGTCCACCAAAATATAAATACTCTAAATGGACTAAAGGAAATGTTCATTCTGTTGTTTAGAATTGGACACATCCCAAGGAAGGTAAATTTAATCTTTTTGAGGACTGCTGTTCTAGGGCTGAATGGAATACGCATTTGTTTATCTCCTTTGTGATCTTTTTGTCTTCCTGGTGATACATTATGTATTTGTGATACGAAGCATTTCAGCTGTCTTGCTCAATGGCATTGCATTTGCTGATTGTTCGGTCCCCAGATTGGCATCATTAAATAGCGGCAGCCTCCATCCAATCTGGGACCTGTTAGGGAGTGAAGGGGAACCAGAGAGGCCAGGTTCCAACAGAAACAAAGCTGGGGTGGAATTAGGGAGAAATCATTCCAGAACCCAGGAAGTTGAGCTCTGCGCTTCTTAATCTTTATCTTTCAAAATGTCTGAAGGAATTTTAGTGCTTCTTGGCATAATGAGGAAAAAACAGGGCCTCAAAAAGTAAAATAAAATGAAGAATATCCCCACTATACCAGAATTCAGAAAACCACACTTTATGAGTCACCTGCAGTATATTTCACAGAAATGCAAATATTACTTCATTAAAGAGAGATATACAATATATATTTTAACCCAGTTACCACATCTTAAGTAATCAGCTCAGGCCCTTATGATGAAATCTTTAATTACTAGAAGTGTGTCATTAGTTAGATGTCGAATGAATGATGGTGCTGTGTTTTATTGCCTCACATGATATAGCCATTTGTGCCATAAATTCATTGACCTCATCTTAAATGATGTCTCCTGTAAGACAGATTTGATTCATTATTTCTTAAGTGACAGTTTTTTCCCTCTAATAATTTTTGCTTCATCAGAAAGATTGCTTTTCTGTATTTTTAGGTCAGTGCTCTGAATTGCAATGTAATAAGGCAAGGCGATACACAAGTTCACACTCACACAGCCCAGAAACAAGCCCCTCACGGGTGGGCACATTACACTTGAACACTTTGGGATGCTGCAGAAAACCAAGCTGCCAAGGTTAGGCCTCTACTTTCACAATTTAAGGAAATAGGACTTTGCTTTTAATTTTGATGTCTGTAATTCTTTCTATGTGGAAAAAGATAAAATATGGAGGAAAATTCTCATTTGATGATTGGGATAGACCTGTGCGCATTCCTTATTCATCCATGAATTACTGAAAGTAAAGGAAATGAAGAAAAAATGTTTATACAGTATTTAGTTTGTTATTATATCTCACTCCACTTGAAAATATTTACAGTTCAGTGGACCCTTGTCTTACGAACTTGGTCCGTTCCTGAGGGCTGGTTGTAACTCAAGTTGGTTGTAAGTCAATACAGTTGAGATCTGGATGTTTACCTGAGTATACACTATGGATAACAAGAGGCACATGAATCTTCCATTGACCTAATTAACCCAAGTTGTTTGTATGTCAGGCTGGTCATAACTTAAGGGTCTACTGTATTTAGCTTGAGGAAACAGGAATCCTCTGAAGGCAAAAAAAAAAAAAAAAATCAACCTGGAAATTTGAAAACCAATTAATGATTTCAGAAAACTCTTTCCCTTTCCCCTTATGGTTAAAAAATAAGATCCAAAAGAAATATGCCAGAAAATTGGCTTATTATTTTAATTAGTTTAATTCATCAATAATGTTTTTCAGCCCATGGTCATAGAAGAAATAGAAGCTTCAAGCTTATAAATTTATACTTTAGGCATTCTTTGGAGGCCTTACATTGAAATGGAGGCAGGTGGTTTTATTTCAAATAGAATTTAAATGCCACATCATTATATGTTAACTTTATTTGTAAAAGATCAAGCCTTTAAAAATAGTAGTGTATGTGTACCATGTTTTCAGTAGTTTTCTTAACCTTTACCTAGATGAGAAATTTACCTAGATGAGGGTTTGATGGATTTTGTGGTTTCCTCTCATCAGAGGCAATTCTGCAGGTATTTGTAAACTGAGCATCTCACTTAGCATAAAAACTTCCCTTGATTCAGAGCAATCTAAAACACTGTAATAAAAGACAGGAGAATATGAGCATTTAAATTATTTTTAATACTTTAATGACTACAATTGTTTTGTTAACTCAATTGAAAGAATAGGCATTCTAATCAAATGACACTCAGCAAAATGTCCTCAAATTTTTGCAAGAAGTATTTTGAAAGGGTGATTTGATACTACAGCAACCGAAACACCCACTGGAGCCAATAAGTATATTTTATTCATTCTTACACTGTCAAGTTTATTACCTATAAATATCAGTGGGAAAAAAGTGAGACAGGAAAGGGGATTTACACTTACAGACCCACATCTGCCACGCCAGTGTTCGCCCACAATCACACACTAGCATGCCACCACTGTTTACAATCAAGGAAAGCTGAGAGTTAAGTGAGATGAGTAATCAAATGCCCAGCATATGTTGTTTTTGCATTGTTTATGTGACCAATCATTATTAAAATTTATCATCTTTTCATTTTATCAGTTTACAATATTTTTTTTAAAAAAATGCACTCATACCAGTGGAACAAACACTCTGTACAATGAAAACAGGGTCCTGTCAGGACCGTAATGGAAACAGTGCTTTATTGGGGGAGACACTGGAATTCAATAAGCCCACCATTGACTGAATTTCACAATTCGTTCTCTGCTGCTGTGTGGCTTGTATGTGGAGGATATGACAAAAAATAATAAGAAGAATAAGAAAAAGATGGTGTGTGTAAAATTCTGTCCAAAAAAAAGAGTGAAGCACTGAAGGAACTATTGAAAATTTTGACATCTGTTTATCTGTTTATAGCTATGGCAAGATTACTCATATTAATTCTTGTTTAAAATGCCATATGAAGGAAAGACATTTGTGCAAACAAGAGTCATATTTGAATTGTAGATCATGTCTTCACCATCTGTGAGAGCTGATGGTGTTGCGAAATTAATGTGTTAATGAAATCACAATAATTTCTCCAAAGTAATGGGTTCCGAAGCTGAGAATGACTATTTTTTGAACTTTGATGTCTAGTGATTTCCAATTGGGAAAAGCTCTCAGCCTTTAATTAGTTCTGCAGCCCAACTTTAAAATAAATTTGGCATTGTCTTTCTTTTGCCAAGAGTAGATCTGAAGGGGGGAGTGGAGGAGCCATAACAACTTTTGGAAAATGTTCTATGGTGTTTGAAAAGTTGTTAAATAAGCCTGCCTGCCAAGAAATGTCACCAAAAATTCTGACTACTGAGAAAGAGTGGGCAAACAGCTCAAAAAATAATTCTAGCTTGCTGCAACATCACAGGTTGGGAATAGCTAAACCTCACACAGACTTCATGACTAATTCCAAGTTTCTCCTTGGAAGCCAGACTTAGTGATGTTCTGTGCTTTGTGTTATTGGTTAACACGGCACACCCTTTTCCAACTGCATTATTGGACACAGTCAGTAGTTTAAAATGACTTTGCATGTGGAGAATTTGAAGGGTTATGTTTCATATCCACTGAACTTTCTGGAGAATCCTTCCCTCCAAACTCTTCAGATTTGTGTTTACAGTGAGCCTCTGACAGGTGAAAATGTGAGGGCAGCTATCTGGGGCAGGTCTGTGTACTTCTTTTTGTCAGAACCGTCTTTAAGTCATGCTTGACAACAGTTTCCCAAAAATAGGAGATTGGTATCCTCACTATCCCAAAGTTAATATTTATAGAGCAAAGCCATCGTTTCACAAATATTTCAGAAGTTTTCATTTTAGAAGGAAGCACTTCTGCCTGTTTGAGAAATTGTGATAAAGTTTGAAAGAGCCTTTATGTGAAACATGAAACGCCATCTACCCAAGGAAATTGCTTATCTTACCTGTTGTGGTTTCTTGTTGCTGTGTTGTAGGTATGTGACTGGTGTAAGCACATAAGACACACAAAAGAATACCTGGATTTTGGGGACGGGGAAAGAAGGCTTCAGTTCTGCAGCGCAAAATGTCTCAATCAATACAAAATGGACATTTTCTACAAAGAGACACAGGCCAATCTTCCAGCTGGGCTGTGCAGTACATTGCACCCTCCCATGGAAAATAAAGCAGAAGGCGCCGGGGTGCAGCTGCTCACTCCAGACTCTTGGAATATCCCGCTGACAGATGCTCGGAGGAAGGCCCCCTCCCCGGTGGCTGCAGCTGGCCAAAGCCAGGGCCCCGGCCCATCGTCGTCCACCACCGTCTCTCCATCTGACACTGCCAACTGCTCTGTCACTAAAATCCCCACGCCAGTGCCCAAGTCCATCCCCATCAGCGAGACTCCAAACCTCCCTCCTGTCTCGGTCCAGCCGCCAGCTAGCATCGGACCTCCCCTCGGCGTGCCGCCTCGTAGCCCTCCTATGGTGATGACCAACCGCGGCCCGGTGCCGCTGCCCATCTTCATGGAGCAGCAGATCATGCAGCAGATCCGCCCGCCCTTCATCCGCGGTCCGCCGCACCACGCCTCCAACCCCAACAGCCCTCTGTCCAACCCCATGCTGCCCGGCATCGGGCCCCCTCCCGGCGGCCCTAGGAACTTGGGCCCCACCTCCAGCCCCATGCACCGGCCCCTGCTATCGCCCCACATCCACGCCCCGAGCACCCCCACCATGCCCGGGAACCCCCCGGGCCTAGGCGGCCCCCTGCCGAGTCTTCCCTTCCCTCCGGTGAGCATGATGCCCAACGGCCCGATGCCGGTGCCCCAGATGATGAATTTCGGGCTGCCGTCGCTTGCCCCACTGGTACCGCCGCCCACCCTGCTCGTGCCGTACCCCGTGATCGTGCCCCTGCCTGTGCCCATCCCCATCCCCATCCCTATCCCCCACGTCAATGATTCCAAGCCCCCCAGTGGATTCT